ATGCTCTCTTGGCCCTCTGGGGTCATGTTAGTCTCTGGGTTGCCGGAAAGTATAAAGCAGTTAATCAGGAAAGGAGGCTCTCTCCGGAGCCCCAGCGGACACGGTGGTCAGTCCCTGGGAAAATGACTTCCATGGTACTTGTGGCTGCTATTTTCCCGACTACAAGTCAATCTCATTCTTGTATCTCCCTCTCCTCTCCCTTTCTAGCCATCCTGAACTCTTGGCAGCTCAGTTCCATTGAGAGCCAGGGGAGGCCTGCGGCAGGAGAATTCCCGGCTAGGGAGAAAACTTGCTGGAGGAAGGACAGTGGGGCGGGAGGGCCCCTGCTACACGCAGAAGCTCAGTTATACAGTTCCAGTCACTCCGCCTGTCTGCCTCTCACAGCCGCCGTCCCCTAGCCAAGGGGCCTTTCCTGCAGGCCACAGCTGTATTTGCTCATCCTGGCTTGCACATTTTAATCTGGTTCCTAACTAGGCGACAACAAACAGATGACTTGGGAATCAGACACCGTCACTGAAGCACAGAACAAGCTGTCCGAGTGACTTCTACCCGCGAGGCCCAAAGAGAAAGGGATAATGAAGTCACTTGCGGCTGTGAAACACGGAACATTGATGCAGTTGCTTTTATTTATTCACCTATAAAGATGACCGCAACGATTGTGCTGAGTGACCCTCAGATTAACACTAATTATATTACTAGAGATTGGGTCCTAAACAGATTCAGGGAAGGGTGAGAACAACAAAAATCTTCAAACACTGAAACAAAACAAAACAAAAAAAACATTTTTTTTTCTTTTAAAAACTTAAGATGCTACTTCCCCACAGACTTCTTTAGACTGGGTTGCAGCCTGAGGTAAGAGGAAACAAGGCTTTGGGCATTTTGAAGAAACTGCAGGTTCAGGTCAGTGCCAAGCATGGGACTGAAACCCTGATTTGAGCGTCTGATCTCAGGCACATTCTGAAGAGAGGCAGGTTCTCAAGTGATTCCTAGTGTTTGTGCCTCTTCACACATTAACGCTGAGTTCTCTTTTTTTCTGGTTGATTCCCCTCACTGCTGCCCCTGTTTAACCGACACCGAGTGGGGACCTGGCAGACCTGTGGCGTCTGCTCCGAATGGAAAGATGACAGACTAGCACCGCCACCTTCCTCTAAGACAGCCGCTGCGGCAGCTGGAAGACAGGCACACTGGGCCAAAGGCTGCTCACCCTTGGGAAAACCAACCATAGTTGTCCTCATTCCTGGTGAAAATGACCAACTGGGTCAGTCCATATCACTAGGAAAGGCCAAGGAAAAACGGCTTTCTCTCAAAAAATAACAAGAGGAGAAAGCAAAAATATTCAGGATGGCCCAATGTGATATGCATAAATTTCTTTTTGTTATTATATCTAAGTATACATTTCCTAAAGCCCAGTTACTAGATTGAACTGAATGGAATAGAAGAGAGAAGCCAACTGGAATTTCCCTCAAGAGTTCACAGCTTCAGCCTGAGAGGTCCTCGGTTTGCGCTGTGGAAGCCCCTTTTTGAATGAAGGCTTGGGTGGGCTAGGCGTCATGCTGGCTCCAACTCCATTGGTCCCTGAAGAATAAGCCTGACTCCATTCACTAGCATTTCCTGAGGCCTGAGGTGGAGCACTCTGGTAGCGGGACCCAGAAGAATACCAGTTGTTTCTGTAACGACTCGCACTGTCATGCCGCCCTTGGCTTGTGGGGTCACTGGTCTTCTGGCTTTGTGGTCTGTAGCCTTGTCCTCCTCGCCGGTTTCCTGGAAAAACCTACAGATAAAAAAGTGCAACGCTCATAGTGCTGTCATTATGATGCCTCATTTGTCCCACTGTTTTGAAAGCGTAATCAATCATGTTTGGGATTCAATCCTACCAGCCAATCCAACCTATTCACTCCTTCAGAATACACCTTCCACGAATCTCCCTGCCTCTTGTACTTAGGTCTTCCCTACTGAGGAGTCCCATCTCGTTAAGACATGCACAGGAAGGAAATAAACACAGAAGAGTCATAAGCTCTGAATCACACAAGTGTCTGAACACATAGATCCCATGCCATCTGTAAAGACACGAGCACATGTGTAGTATTTTGAAAGCAACTGTCCCCATTAAGCTTACAGTGAGTAACACTATTAGGAGGTGCGACTTCAGCGGAGTAGGTATGGCCTTGTTGGAGGAAGTGTGTCACTGTGGAGGCGGGCTTTGAGGTCTCATATGCTCAAGCAACGCCCAGTGCCTCAGACCACTTCTTGTTGCCTTGTGGGTGGAGAGGTGTAGAACTCGCAGCTCCTTCTCCAACACCACGTCTGTCTACACGTCCATGATGAACTGAACCCCTGAAACTGTAAGCAAGCCACCCCAATAAAATGTTTTTCCTTTATAAGACTTTCCATGGTCTCTTTACAGCAATAGAAACTCTTAAGGCAGAAGTTGGTACCAGGGACCAGGATATTTGTGTGACAGGCCTGACCATGCTTTTGTCTGAAGGAATATGGACCATGAGACTGGATTAGAAAAGCAGTCAAGCCAGGCAGTGGTGGCGCACACCTTTAATCCCAGCACCTGGGAGGCAAAGGCAGGCGGATCTCTGTGAGCTTGAGCCAGCCTGGTCTACAGAGCGAGTTCCAGGACAATCAGGGCTACACAGAGAAACCCTGCCTTAAAAAACGCTAAATGCTTTAAGTGCTGCTCAATGCGCTATTCCAGTAGGAGCACGGAGGGGTTGGACTGTGGGGCCTGGCTCCAGAGGCTTCAGAGGCAAGAATTTAGTACGTTACCTAGAGACAGTCTGATGTATTTTGGTGAAGAAGGTGGATGTTTTTTGTCCTTGTCCAAAGAGTCTGCCTGAAGCTAAAGTGAAGAGTTTTGGATTAACTCTGTTGCCAGAGGAAACCCTAACTAAGACACACAGCATAAGAAAAGCAAGCAGAGGGCAGTCTGCTTTGCTGTGTACTACAGGCTGTGGACCGCACCAGGAGCTGTGAAAGACAGCATGCCTTTCACCTCACAGCCCAGGGAGCTTCTAGGACTGGCTTTTTTATCTTCAAACCAAGGAAGCGAGACCATGGGTTACTCTGCCGCTTTCTAGAGTTTGCTCCCAGCCTACGAGGTTCACTTGTTCTACCCTGATCTACTCTTACTGGGCTCCTGAGTCTGGAGGCTTTCAGATGCATGGTGGTGAACTTGACACTTGAACTACTTGTCTACCTTGAGATGGGTGCACAACTCCCAGTGTGACTAATTACCAGACAATACAACCTACAACAGACTGCCAACAAATGTAAGTCAGCTGCTGGGGCAACAGGACGTCTCAACTGACTGGTGGTGTGGAATACCGTCTCAAGTGATTTCTCCAGAACTAATAGAGACTAGATGGAATGAGAACAGAGAGGAAGGCAACACAATGAGCTACCAGCACGGAAACACAACAACCGGGGGTCATTTCCCAACACACTCAGTGTGAAAGCTGCATTACCTCCCGATGAGCCTGGCTGGGTCCGTCACTGGAGTCTGTCATGGCTGCTGAAGTCTCTCCTGGGGCACAGTGTCTCTTGTTAGCACCTAGAAGGCTGGGAGCAGAGGCACAGGGGGAAGAGGAAGCAGCAGTCCCATCACTTGGGCCGTTCAAGGACACAGATACCACCGAGCTGCATCGAGATCTGGTCGAATAGCTGTTCTTTGGATGGGACACTGAAACAGGAACATGAGGAGTAGGCTGTGGTCAGGGCTGGCGTGCTGGCGCAGTGCACCAAAGCATGTGCTGCACAAGCCTGGGCAGCGGTCTGCCGCCCATGGAGAGGGCAGAGAAACTCCTTCACAGCTGACTCTCAGGTCTTCCCTTACAGTAAACACATTTTCGGACTGTCCATGGGGCAGTCACAGGAAAACCTACAACATGGTAAACGAGAAGGAAAAGAAGTCTTCTCCCAAACCTGCTGCCCTGTGATGAGTTCCAAGACCAAACCATACCGGCCTCCATTGATGCCTCTCGGCATCTCCTCTAACCTAAACTCCTGGCTGGACTTCCAGCAGACTAAACCCTGGGAACAACAGGACAGGCCTATGTTTTGTTTCCTATGCAAGTTGGCTCTGCAGAACAGATCTTATAAAGAAAGAAAGAAAGATGTAAACAATCAAAATCTCTGCTAAAGTCTTTTTTAAATTGAGTGACGTAAGGTAAAGATAATCAAGATCAGTTAAATAAATAGATCTTGTCTTTACAATAAACACACATCTCACTACATTTCTTATTACAAAATGACCCAAAATTCAATAACCCATATAACTGAAAAGTATTATTTTCAATTCAAATGTTCTCAGATATCATAGTTTGAAGCAATCCCGGATGTCTTCTTGGTTCTAAGCCTGAGCTATGATGGGTTAACAGTCACTGCTCTGGGGCCAGCATTTCATTTTTTTGTTCTATACAGCTGGAGAGCAAACCCAAGGTCCTTGACACAGATTAGGCAAGTGCTCCCAGCCCCCGATCTCATACTGAGAAGAAGAAAAAGAGGGGAGTAAGCTCAGAAGTCTGATCTTTAAAAAAAAAAAAAAAGATTTATTTATTTATTATGTATTCAGTGTTCTGCCTGCATGTATCCCTGCAGGCCAGAAGGTGGCACCAAATATCGTTACAGATGGTTGTGAACACATGTGGTTGCTGGGGATTGAACTCAGGACCTTTAGAAGGGCAGACAATGCTCTTAATCACTGAGCCATCTTTCCAGTCCAAGCCTGATATTTTTGAGACAGAGTTTCTCCGTAAAAATCTGAAGCCAGTCCTGGAACTCATTCTGTAGACCAGGCTGGCCTCAAATTCACAGAGATCCACCTGCCTCTGTGGTGCAGGACAATTGTCTATATTCTGTCAATTATATTTTAAATAAATGCTGATCGGCCAGGCAGGCAGGAAGTATAGGCGGGACAACCAGACAGGAAGTAGAGGCGGGTCAATGAGGACAGAATTCTGGGAAGAGGGAAGCTCTCTCTTGGCAGTCTTGCCCAGACACAGAAGGAGGAAGATGTGACCTGCCCCGCTGAAAAAGGTACTGAGCCATGTGGCTAACATATACTAGAATAATGGGTTAATATAAGTTATAAGAGTTGAGGGCTGGAGAGATGGTTCAGTGGTTAAGAGTGCTCTTCCAAAGGTTCTGAATTCAATTCCAAGCACAACCTTCTGTAATGAGGTCTGGTGCCCTCTTCTGGTCTGCAGGCATACATGTAGATAGAATATTATATACATAATAAATATAAAAAATAGTTTTAATAAGAAGCCTGAACTAATGGGTCAATCAGTTTATAACTAAAGTAGACTCTCTATGTCTTTTTCTCTGGGACTAAACGGCTGTGAGAACCGGGCAGGACAGAAACCTCAGCCAACACCTCTGCCTCCCGAGTGTTGGGATTAAAGGCATGTGCCACCACCGCCTGGCACCTGATCTATTACTAGTGTATGCCTACAAACTCTCATTTGGGGCCCTGTTTTTGTGTGTGTCAGTGTTTAGTTTGAATGTATGCATGTGCACCATACGCATGCCTGGTGCCCATAAAGGTCAAAAGAAGACACTGAATCCCTTGGAACAGGAGTTAAGGATGGTTGTGTATTACTCTGTGGGTACCCAGGTCCTTTATAAGAGCAACAAGTAATCTTAACTAGAGTTGTCTCCCCAGCCCCAAAGAGATCTATTTTACTTATGTTTGTGTATATGTGTCTGTTTGTGTGCAAATGCCTACAGAGCCAGAAGAGGGGTTACTGGGGCTAGAGATATGGGTGGCTACAAGGCATCCTATGTGCATTCTAGGAATTAAACTCTGGCCCTCAGGAAGGGCAGCAGTCCTTTCAACCCCGAGCTATCTTTCCAGCCCCAGCTCGTTCCCATTTTTAACGCTATTACTTAAAGGCCTAGTATGTGCCTAGCAAGGCAGGAAGAGTAAAATGATGTTCAGGATGTCAGGGAGTCAACCTGGTCTGAGTCCGGAGACCCTGCTCTTCACACTCTCAATCAGCTCTCGACTCAGAGAAGGGAGACTGCTGAGTGCCGGGGAAGAGGTCTACAGCCCTTGGAGACTCAGAAAGTTTGGAGCTAGTCTTGGCTCCAAAAGAACAAAACGTATTCCATACTTCAGGACTGTCAAATACTAGTCTTTAGAGTTCAAAGCACCTGTAGCCCCGGACTCCTATGTATCCCAGTGATTTGAGGAGTACGCAGTGGAAGGCCAGCCAGCACACCTGCCCACCATCAGAGGACAGTCTCCTTAGCATTCTAGAACCCAGAATCTCTCACCCTCTCACCTTGTCCAAACGAATCGATACTCTGTTTCAGAGTCTCCACATCACAGGTGAAGCGGGCCACCCTTCCCAGGTCTTCGTCGTACTTCCGCTCACTGACAAAGTGCTGGAGAAGAGAGAAAAGCTTCCAGGTAAGAAACAGTGCACAAAGAACTTAAAGCACACCAAGTGAACAGAATTATCTTCAATTTTCTCAGTTTTATTGCTTTAAAGTTTGCTATGCCCACGACGTTAGCAACAGTAACTGCTCAGGCGGTCACTCATTGTCAAGGGCCCAGCTAAGTCTGACAGCTCCATGACATATTAGCAAAGGCCGACCCCGAATCGATGGCAAAGGTCTCCTCCCCCTGAGCTATTCTTCACACAGTCCACTTTGCACAGAAGCAGAGGCAGCCAATGTAATCGTAAGCTCCAACTACGGTCCTGCTGAAGCAGACATTGTTGTCCTTTGGTAGGATCCACCTTCAGGAAAGGCACTGCGTCTCCTTATAAAACAGGGTTTCAGAGTCTTTGTAAGAGAAGCAATTTCTTGAGATAGAAAATCATTCATGTGGAAAGGCAGCTCTGCAAATGAGACATTTATGCTGCAAGTGATTTAATCCTTTTAAAAGCAGACTGAGCTGAGAAGTAACCAGCCCCTGGGTCAAAGGCTGACTACACATGGGAACTGTGGGGCGAGCAGTCAGTCAGGAAAGAAGCACTTCTGGGGTCTGTTAAATAAACAATGTCTAGGTGGCCAGGATTACCCCCACCACACACACCAGATGAGTAGAGGAAAAAGAAAAGTCAAGAGCGCAGAGAGAATTTGTAATTGAACTCCTCACTGGGGGTAGTCTACTCCCACTTCAAATGCATCAGAATTCTTGGAATGCATCCAGAAACACGAACAGGAAAAGAGAGAGAAAAATTACCCTTGCGACTTGACATCCTAAAAATTCTGAGTACACTGCAGCTTAGGGAGGTGTACAGACCTCCTGTAATGGCGTTTCCAGATACAGAGGATCTGTCTGATATTAATTCTGAAACAAATTTTAGGGTTTGTTGAGCCAAAGACATAATAGAGATGACAGAAGTACAATGATCTGGAAATAAGACATTTAAATTGCACAGCACCCACTCCAGTACATCAAAAACGTGGAAAGAAACAGATCCTTAGTCAGCCTGCAGAAATATTTCTAGAAACCTTTCAGCCTCGTAGGAAGAGGAACAGATGAAGCCTATGGGAGCCAGAATTCTCATCTAATTACGAAGGGATTTCTGGTTTCTCCTAGACAGCTAAATGAGACTGACTGGCATCAGTGTGAGGGAAATGTTCTGTACAATTCCGTAATGTGCTATTAGTTAATAGGAAATAGGAATTTTAAACTTACATTTTTTGGCTTTTTTACTCCAATCAATTCTCAGGGGAAGGAGTGAGGGATAAGAGTTACTCAACAGGTTTGTATGAGCACTGGATCAAATGATGCCCGGAAGGCCCTAGATCACCTTACACCTGTGTCTGTGCTTTCTTCAGGCCGCTGTTGGCCTCCATAAGAAGCAATCTTCTCAAATAAGTCAACAAAGTTCACGTGTTCATAAGAGCAGAGGTGAACGCTTAGGAATGGAAAAGGTCACCCCCCTGCGCCTTGCTTGAAAAGCTTTCCGTTTATAAACAATGATTTAGAGCACGGTGTCCATGGGTACCTACAAATAACCCAACTTCTCTTGGGGTCACACATTTAGTTTCAGAAATACAATTTTAAAAAATTTATTTTTACTTTATGTGCAATGAATACTTGCTTGCATACATGCGTGTGCACTGCATGTGTGCCTGGTGCCCAAGGAGGGCAGAAAGAGCACTGGAGCTCCTGGAACTGGAGTCACAGAGAGCTGTGAGCAGCCTTCGGAGTGTGGGGAACTGAACCCGGGTCCATCCGTGTTTAAGGATTACAGAAGATTTGAAGCAGGCTACTCAAGTATGAGAATCAGGCAAAAAGGTGGAGAGAACAGAAAGACTCGAGTGAGCCCACTGCAGAAGGCCAAGCAACCGACGGCAGCTTGACGGCTGTGGTGGGAATGGAGATGAAAGACACTGTCACTCTGAGATTCAGCACTAAGTCCAAGGACCTGCGGGCTCCCTGACAGATTTAATTCGAGGGTGGAGAAGTTTCCCAAGATTTCCTGCCTAGACAACTGGAGAGATGACAGAACAATTTAAAGAAAAAGGAAGTCTGGAAAGAGGCCATGCTTGGAAGGGAAGTTCATGGCTGAGTGTCCTCTGTACGGCCATGTCTTCTGGAGATTTGCTGTGCTGGTCCTGTGAGTCAGTGCAAGGCAGAAAGGAGAAGGAAGTTCACCTTGATATCAGCCCTGAGTTCAACCAGCTGCTCCTCTGACATCCGTACAGCCACATCCGTCATCTTCTTCAGAACTTCTGCTTTCTTCTGCCGACTGAGCAAAATTTCCACTGTGGAAGAAAAGGAAGCATGAAGTTTACGCTGAGGTTAAATGAGACACAGAAGAGGAGCACACGCCTTGAGAGTGCATCAAGAAGGCCGAGGGCCTAGCTGCCCACTCATGCAGAAAGTGAAAGTACCAAAGGCCTAGTTTCTGGCTTAGGAGTCTCTGAAGGCAGTTAGAATACAGTCTTCTCTTTATCATAGCCGGTCATCTACTCTACAGATAAACTCCAAGTACTTAGCACATCTAATGATGGATATTCAAGTCCTTACGCTCTTTTTATAAAAGCACCTATTCCTATGGCTATGGTAAATAACAGACCAAAACAGAAAGATTCCTCCCATGGACAGTGGGCAAAAGAACCCCTAGGCAGCAGAGTTAGGGGCTGTCAGATGAGTGACCCAAGAAACATCACTACCAGGCAGGGAATTGCTATTCCTCGCCAGCAGTTGTTTTGTGACAGCATCTCATTCTGGAGCCCCAGGCTTGTCTGGAACCCACTATGTAGAACAAGATGGCAAGGTAGTCCTCTCCCACAGTTGGTAAGCACTGAGACTCTACACATAACCATCACACCCTGCTCTCTCCTGCAAGGTTATACCATTGTTTTTTTCTTTTTCTTTTTCAAATTTACTCATTTTGCCGGGTGGTGGTGGCGCACGCCTTGAATCCCAGCACTCAGGAGGTAGAGGCAGGCGGATCTCTGTGAGTTTGAGGTCAGCCTGGTCTACAGAGCGAGTGTCAGGACAGGCTCCAAAGCTACAGAGAAACCTTGTCTCAAAAAATAAATAAATAAATAAATAAATAAAATGTACTTACTTTTATTTTATGTGCACTGGTGTTTTGCCTGCATGTATATGTGAACATGTTGGGTTCTCTAGAACTGGAATTACAGACAATTGTGAGCTGCCATATGGGAGTTGGGAATTGAACCCGGGTCCTCTGGAAGAGCAGCCAGTGCTCTCCACCACTGAGCCATCTCTCCAGCCCCTGATCATTGTTTTTCTAAGTCCAACACTTACTTTCATTCATTCCTTCAGTCTGGATTTGTTTGTATGCATGAGTGTTTGCGCACATGTGTGTATGTAGACCACATGTGTGCCTAGTGCACATGGAGATCATATTTCCCCTGAACCTAGAGTTACAGTCAGCTGTGAGCATTATGTGGATGCTGAAAATTGAACCTTGGTTTCTGTCAAGATCAAGTGCTCCTAAGTGCTGAGCCAGCTCTCCAGTCCAACACTTGACTTTCTTAAGAGCTACAAAAGATCTATTGGCTTAGCTCTCAATATAAAACCCACCTGCTGTTCATATCAACCTCAGTTCTCATCCTCCAACACTCTGGGATTTTAATGCAAAATTATAGATTTCAAGGTAGACAAAAAATATTTAGTAAAGATTTCAATTTTTTATTTAGTTTTATGTGTGGGAGTGTGTTGCCTGCATGTATGCCTGTGCACCACATACATGCAATGCCTGAAGAAGTCAAAAAGGGGCATGGGATCCTTTGGAACTGAAGTTACAGGTGACTGACAGACACCATACATGTCAGTGCTGGGAACTGAACCCAGGTCCTCTGGTAGAGCAACCAGTGCTCTTAACCACTGAGCCATCTCTCCAAACCCTCAATAAAGACTTCTACAACATATCACAAGACTTGGAAAACAAAATTAGGGCTGGAAAAAATGGCTCAGTGGTTAAGAGCACTGGCTGGATGCAGAAGACCCAGGTTTGAGTCTCGTCACCCACATGATGGCTCACAACTCTGTAACTCTAGTTCCAGGATCTGATGCCCTCCTCTGGCCTCCCTGCACACATGTCACGGTACACACACACACATACACACACACACACACACACACACACACACTACCCACATACGTAAAATAAAATAATAAATTTTAGCTGAGCACGATGCCTCCCAGGTGCTGGGAGGCACAGACAGGTGGATATCTGAGTTTGAGGTCAGTCTACTTTACATATAGAGATGTGGGCCAGCTAGGACTACACAGTGAGAATCTGTCTCAAGCAAACAAAGAACAAGAAAATAATTTTATTTTGAGGGGTTGGAGGGCTGGCTCATCAGTTAAGAGCACTGACTGCTCTTCCAGATGACTCAGGTTCCAACTTCCACACAGCAGCTCACAACTGCCTGTAACTCCAAGATCTGACACTCTCACACAGACATACATGCAGGCAAAACACCAGTGCACAGGAAATAAATCATAAAAAATTATTTTGAGAAAAAAAGAAGAAAATCAAATATGATACTGGACAAGTCATCTTTTTCCCATACAAATTTCTTCTTCTTAAATAAGAAGATAAACAAAATAAGAAAACCTACCTATTTCAAAGTATTGGACCAAAGAATATATATGAGTATGTATAAAGAAATTCTGAACTGTGAAATAGTATAAATAAAGTATTTAATAAACTAAAACATGCTTTCTTGACAGTACTGGTAACACAATTACTACATCATATCCCTGAGAGCCAGCAATTTCAGAGAGAACAAATATAAAGACATAAAACGGATGAAGTTAGGTAAATTTTTGTAGCTTTTAATTGATAACTGGTTTAAACTAGGTGATGGGACTCCCTTTGCCTCTCTATTTGAAACTGTGAATAGATGATTTGTGTATCCATACTCACATGTGTGAGCACACGTGGAGAACTTGGGTATCTTCCTCAATTTAAGGGTATAGATAATTTAAGGGTCTCTTGCTGGCTTGAAGCCCATGTTTTGGCTCGACTGGCCAGGACAGTGAATCCTTGCGATCTCCTTGTCTCTGTACCCAGCTCTGAGGTCACAGACTCAGGCTGCCACACTCAGCTGTCCTGTGGGTGCCAAAATTTGAACTCAAGGCCTCCTGCTTGAGTAACAAGCACTTCCTTTACCCCCCAGGTTCATCTTTCCAGTCGCGCTCCACTCTGTTGTCTGAGACGGGGTCTCTCGCTGGGATCTAAGCCTTACCAACTGGCGAGACTGGCTGACCAGTAAGTTCCAGGTATCTATTTCGTCTTCTCCAGAGCTGGGGTTACAGGTGTGTGCCACCACACCCATCTTTTAAGGTGGATACTGGGACTGCTAACGCAAGAACTTTATTGACTAAGCCATCTTCCTAGCTCCCTAAAACATACACACATGCACGCACGCGTATGAACTTTTTGCTTCAAGCTGGAGAGATGGCTCACTACTGCTCTTCCAGAGATCCTGAGTTCCCAGCAGCCACACAGAGGCTCAAGACCACCAGGGTCTGATGTCCTCTGAATAAAGGTGCACATGCAGACAGAGCACTCATACATAAAATAAATAAATAAATAAATCTTAAGAAGGGTCTGTCTGCTCACCCTGTGCATGCTGGTGCCCATGGAGGTCAGAAAAGGGCATCAGATCACTTGGAACAGGAGCTTACAGACGGTTCTGAGCTACTATGTGGGTGCTGCTAATCCATGCTCCCACCCCTAAAGGATTTATTTTTAAAAAGTACCTTCTCTTCTAAAGCAAGGACTGTATCTTTTCACTAGTTTTAGTTTACCTGACCCTTTATCTTGTGAAAGAATTCAAAGAACAAGAATAGGCTACAGATGTGAAATTTAAAGATTTCAAGATATACTATTTAATACATATGTAATCTTATTTCTGAGAAATAGGAGATAGAATCCCTGCTTCATTCTTAACACTTTCCTTAAAATGAACCAAACTACATTCTGCTCAGTATTTTCGAGGTGTCTCTTCTATGGCTGTGGTCACAGGCACAATGATCACCTAATAAAGTAATTCTATTCTTACTAGTTTGAGGGTAGGTTAAGAGAAACAACCTTACTCAATAAGATGGCATTCAGTGCATGAAGATCACCACCACCAGACCAGCGAGATGCTCAAGGGGAAGCACCTGCCATGCAAGCCTGGCAGCCTGAGTCCACCCATAGATCCCAGGGTGGAAGAAAAAGACCAATTCCCTAAAGTCTTCTCCTGGCCTCCACACCTGTGCTGCACACCTGCACTCAGAACCACAACCAGGTTTCTGGTTCCTCCATCAAAAGCCACACAAATTATCCAAGTTAGACTTCATTCCTCCAGAGTCTATTTTAATAAGCATTTGTGGCATGTTGAATTCTCGGCTCACTGCCTGATTACAGACACTGAATAAGGATCATCCTAAAATGGAAAAATAAAAGAAATTCTGTGACAGCAAATGACAAGAACACACACTCAACTGTGGGAGGCACAATGAAGTATCCTCTGATCAGCCTAACGTTTTAGCCTTATCAAATTAAACAAAACCCAGTGGAACCGCTTAATCACTAGAAAGAAAAGCAAAACAGAGGAAAGCCCAGGCGCCTGCAGGGTGCTTTATGTTCCTAAGGGTGATGCTATGGGAGCAACACCAGATACAATAAGGTGTAGACTAAATTCTACATTGAGAATGATAAAAATTTGAGAAAAAATTGTAAAAGACTCTTATGAAGAATTAAAACCAGAGTATAATTGCTCAAGACTGACTAGCCAAATTCATAAACTTGTTTGTTTTACTGATAGTATTTAATACATGAACATTAAACTATGACTGAGAGGCAGCTGTCTACTCTTTGCATTGGTAATAGTTTTTTCAAAGTTACTATGTAGACCAGGCTGGCCTCAAACTCACAAAAATTGAACTGTCTCTGCCTTCCAAGCGCTAGGATTAAAGGTGTGTGCATCACGCCCCTGGCTCAGGAATAGCTTTGGTTGACTATCGGCACCATGCCCCAGCTCAGGAATAGCTTTGGTTGACTATCAGTCATCTTACTTGCTTCAGCTTTCACTTTGTCCATTTCTGCAAGCAATGCCACTTCTCGATCCATTAAACTAGGGGGAAAATGACAAAGAAAAAAGGGTTAGATAAGAAACTCAAATACCAAAATAGTATATAATTAATAATGGAGAAAAACTACATTTGTTCACTAAAAACATATGGTTAAGAAACAATGAATAGACACATGGAAGTCTAGTATTGTATTCACAACAAAGAGTATTTAAAGATCCTCAAGAAAATAAATAGACCCATGGGGCTAGAGAGATGTTCAGCAGTTACCCACATGGCAGCTAACAACTATATGCAACTCCAAGATCCGACACCCTCACACAGACATGCATGCAGGCAAAACACCAATGCACATAATAACAAAATAGTAATAATAATAATAATAATAATAATAAAATGAACCCACTCCCTTTTGTTCCATGTTCTAGTAGCAATTCAAGCTACTAGAAATCCAGGATAGAACCAGCAGATGGCAGTAGCAAGCCACAAAAATTTTTTAGTTATGCTAATATAAGAATTTATGGAAATTATTTATTTCCACAATTTCTATATTTTGTTTTATCTCTTCATAAAAAAATATGGTCTCACTATGTATCCCTAGCTGACCTGGAACTGTATGTCGATCAGGCTAGCCTTGAGCTTACAGAGATCCACTTGCCTCAGCCTTTCAAATGCTGGGATTAAGGTGTGCACTGAGCTTGGTTTAAACAATTTGAAAGTTGTTTTTAATTTTACCAGGTAGTATCACTTTCTGCGAGAGTCACAGAAAGTTGTCCAAGATTAGGATCTACATATCCAACATGTGAACACCGTATTATTGCAGCAAGATCAACGGTACTACAATCCTTAGGATACAGATTAGTCCAAGCTTATTTCTGATACAAAACTTACCAGTAATTAGAAAAGACGAAATTAAAAGTTTCTTACAGATTTTTTCCTTCCTCCATGTTGGGGACCAGACCAAGGGCCTTGTATAAGTGGTGCAAGCACTCTACTTCTGGTTTCCTGTTCTCTGCAGACTGGAAATGGAACACGGCCTTGTGTGCTAGGCTAGCGTTCTGCCATGGAGCTATTCTCCCAGCTCTTGTTTTTGTAAAACACTCTCGCTGTAGTTTGGGCTGACCCTGAACTCGTTATTCTTCTGCTCAAGCATCCCAAATGCTGGGATTATAGGTGTGCATTACTAGTCCTGAAATTACTAACCCTCAATTTAGTTATTTATTCTTTATTACATATTTATTTATATATACAGACTGTCGGACTCAACATAAAAGTCCACTCTCTTGTCACCATGTGGGTCTGAGCTAGAATTCAGTTTGTCGGGCATGGCGGCAGACACCTTCACTATGAACCATTCCATCAACTTGAGATTTCTCCTTAATAAAGTATGACAGTCAGGCAGTGGTGACAAAAGGCGTTAATCCCGGAGGCAGATCCCTTAGTTCAAGGCCAGCCAGGTCTACAGAGTGAGTTCCAAGACAGCCAGGGCTATACAAAGAAACCCTGTTTTAAACAGCCCCTCCCCACAGCAGTATACTGCTCTAACATTAGTAGAAATGTTACTCTTTCTGACTGTAAAGGCAATCACAGACACATACATGACCATTCAATTTACCTCACTATGTAATTACGTTAGCACAGTTAATACAGAGACTATACTTGTGAGAAATACACTAATGGAGAGAGCAGGGCTGCTTCCTCAAGGAACAAATCCTTCACAGAAAACTGTGAGAATGTCAATCTGATGATTATCCATGTTAATAAACAGACTTGTAACTAAAAAAAAAAAATGGGTGGCAAATTAATCCAACGGCCCCAGACTGAAGAGAAAAACATGACAATCCTGAGGTGGCCATTCTCTGCTGGGTACACTTCCCACTTGGGTAGTGTGCTTAAGAACCCCAGCTGCCTTTGGAATACCCAAAAGGCACAACTGGGCCAGGAACCGCCAGGCGTACAGTTTGGTGCTGCTGCCAGTTCATCTTACAATGCACACACTGTGCCCACCAGATGACCAATTCTTTGTGTTTGACAAAACTTATAAAATATTTATTAAAGACTTCAAAAAACAAGTGTTTCACATCTCATGGTCTTCGCTGAAAAAAGAAGAGCTGTGTGGGATGTTCCCATCAAAACCAGTTCTACAATGGCACACCACCAGACCGTTCTTGTGGAAATATAAGGGGAAAAGTGATGACATTCCTTCCACTGGAACAACCAATGGTATTCATTGGTTTCTGCACAAAAAAATTCATAGCACACTGACTAGCAATGCAATGTTATGGAAATATCTGTTACATTCTAAGAGACTATAACTTTTGCTAGATTTCACAGACAGATTAATAATACACCTCTGGGTTACTTAGACTTTAGACTGAGAGCCTGTTATGTATCCAGACTGTTTGTTTAAGCTGCCTTTAGGAGAACAACCTGACACCCAATCTTACTTGCCTTGAATTTCCCAGTAGTCAGCTTTTACAAGTGAAGCTAATATGTCACTGTAACCCTGAACTATTCATTCTTTCATGCATCTGCCCTAGAGTAATGCATGTGCACCACTGCTGAGAGCAGCAAGTGTAGCAGTTGAAGCAATCTTATAAAATGAATATCCACCGTTGAACACATTCACGGATAATGTTGAACCTAACTACTTGATTATAAACAATGATATTTGCAATACTACCTGTCATTTGGGTAAGCAAAAAATATCTCTATAAAGTACCCCTTATTTCTTCTTATGTGATACTTTCTGTGCTGTTTAATGGAAGAGAGCAAAGCCACATTTAGGAACAGACATACATAAACACATTTGTTGTAAGCAGGCTGTTTGGTCGTTCCGGCCACTCAGCAGTTCAGACCCGAAATAATCACACAGAAACTCTATTATTTGAATCACTGCTTGGCCAATAGCTTAAACATATTGGTAGCTAGCTCTTACATCTAGAATTAACCCATTTCCAATATTTTATATTTTACTACGAGGCTCATGGCCTACTGGCAATGTTCTACCTGGTAGCTCACGCCTTTCCCCTCTGGCAGCTACATGGCATCTCCCGACTCTGCCTTCTTTCTCCCAGCATTCAGTTTAGTTTTTCCCACCTACCTCTACCCTGTGCAGGCCCAACACAGCTTCTTTATTAACCAATGGTATTCACAGCATACAGAGGGGAATCACACATCAGGCTTTTTAAGAGAGGGCTCGTGTTGTGAGTTGCATGAATTAAACACACTAGTGCATTGGTGTCACATTAAAGAAAAAGATCAAAACACTTTCCCTTGGTGTCACTTAATAAAGAGTGAGGATAAAATGAGAAAAAGAGAAAAAAGAAAAAAAATAGAGTGAGAGATGGATCCTTGATTCTTGTAGAAGACCCAGGTTTGATTTCCAGTGCCCTCACATCTGGCTCACATCTGCCTCTAATTCCTGTTCAGAGGATCTGATGACGACCTCTTCAGAACTCCACAAGCATCAGGCACACATGTGGCAAACAGACACACATATAAGGAAAAGCATTCAAATAATAAAAGTATAAAAAAAAAAGAATGTGTGATGTGGGATTCCCCTCTGTATGCTGTGATTACCATTAATGAGTAAAGAAACCACTTTGAACCTATAGCTGGGCAGAATTTAGCCAGAACTTCAGGAATTTGGGCAGCCAGGAAACGAACAAGTGGCTTCCCACAACAGATTGGTGGTCCAATGTGTGCTAGCTAAATCCACATAAAACCTGAGAGGGCTTTGAAAGGAACTGAAGACACTAAAAAACAAAGTTTCAAAATGGCAGCTTCCTGGGCTGTGCTGCTAGCACAAACTCTTGGCCCTTTCAGGATGTCCGGCTATGAAGCATTACAAACCATAAATGGGGTTTGTAAGCAGAGAGCTACAACTTGCTTAATGGTAACACAGACCTGCTGGGACCCGACCCTGGATCTGGCTCTCAGAGGCAGAAAACACGCCTATGACTGGGCGGAGAAAACAGGCAGGGCCCTGTTGGCCCTAGCCATGCCCAATTAACATAAAAAAGGGTGCTTCTGGTCAGAAAATAATTACAGATACTAATGCAATAAAGACCAATCCAGATGGAAAAGACCTCTAAATGGGTCACAGTGTTGGATAACTGTACATAGGCTTGGCAGAGAAAAAAAAAATAGGCAGTTATAAAAGAAAGTAAATGGTTTTAAAAAATAAAAGAAAGTCTTTAGAGACAGATTAAACTTGAAGAAAAAGTAATAGGAATAAAGAAAAATAAGACAAATAGAGATGGAAAATACACAATCTGGATTATGTATGTATTATTGTGTTTTTTTTTCTTAAATTTTTTTGACTGCGAAGGACCTAAGTACAGAGAGACAACATTTCATTGTATGGGCTGCTAAGCTAAGCCAACATATATATTTTAAAGGTATCATGACTTCAGAATTTGGGTCTAAGGATTTGTTGCTTTGGCAAAGAAGTTCTTCTTTCGTTTCCACAGAGGATGAGAACCTATGGAATCCTTCCAGACTAACGTGATTTGATGGACTAAGACCACCCCCTCCCGAAAGGTTGCTGTGAACCCCTCCCAAATTACTTTGCCCAACAAAAAGCAGGAAGCAGTTTGGAGAGAACTACACCCAAATTCCCTAAATGACTGTTTATATATATGCATGTTTACATTTAAAGGGAGATATGATACAGAGATGGATATTATACATTGGTATGGATCTTGGTTTCTTGATATACATTTAAGGTCAATTTTGTTATATTTCTGCTCTTGATTAAGGTATTGTGTTTGTGCAGCTCATTTAAAATATAATGTATGGGACTGGAGAGATGGCTCAGTGGTTAAGAGCACTGGCTGCTCTTCCAGAGGTCCTGAGTTCAATTCCCAGCAACCACATGGTGGCTCATAACCATCTGTAATGAGACCTGGCACCTTCCTCTGGCATGTGGGCATACATGGAGGCAGAATGTTGTATACAGAATAAATAAATAAATAAATAAATAAATAAATAAATAAATAAATGTACAATTAAGAAACATAGGTTAATAGATAATCATCTATAATAGTCAAGTGTGTAGTCATGTTAGATTTTCTAGATACATAAAGATATAGTTCAGTTAGATAGGTATTCTTCAAATCTTCCAGAGACCTTCAGAATATGGCATTTAAAATATTTGAAGAACTTAGGACTTTTCATGACTGTGAGACACATTTGCTCCTGGCAGCACTAATAACTTCAAAAGGAAGATGGGCACCGAAAAGGCTCCTTATGGAGTTGTTTAGCCATTTGGGCAAGAAACCACTCTTGCCTGGACTGCTTGCTTTTATGCTATATGAACTGGACATGCAGGACCCACAGAAAAATGACTGCTGAAGTTGCCTAAAGAAGGTGAGATGGTCCTTCGGGGTTCCTGCTTCATGAAAACACAAAACAAAAGGAGTCTGCTAGACATTCTGCAGGACACAGAAGAAAGTGACTGACAAATGGCAAATATAGGTGGAACTTGCCTGCTTCATAGAAAAGTCTGCTGGATATTATGGGTTTGTAGGCTGAAGATGAATGCCCCAATGGTACAGAAGAACTTTGGTTGACTGTCCAGGCAGAGAGATGTCTCTGTTAATTCTAGAGTTGGAAGTAGTTTACAATGCACTTCCTGTTTTCTTAGGTAAGATTATATTTTTCTGTAATCTTTGATGGAATTTAAGAACATATAGCTATAATTATAGTTTTCCTTAGTTATGATAAAAGATAAAGTAGATATAAATATTGTAACTGTAATTCTTGCTTGATACCTGTTTAGTTATATGTAATTTTACTATATTAAAGTTAAAACCTTTCTTTTATTTAGACAGAAAAGGGGAGGTGATATGGGATTTCCCTCTGTGTGCTGTGAATACCATTGGTTAATAAAGGAGCTGTCTTGGGCCTGCCCAGGGCAGAACAGAGGTAGGTGGGGAAAACTAAACTGAATGCTGGGAGAAAGAAGGCAGAGTCAGGAGATGCCATGTAGCCGCCAGAGGGGAAAGGTGCGAGCGGCCAGCTGGAACCTTGCCGGTAGGCCATGAGCCTCATGGTAAATATAAAATAGAAATGGGTTAATTCTAGATGTAAGAGCTAGCTAGCAATACACTTAAGTTACTGGACAAGTAGTGATTCAAATAATATAGTTTTTATGTAATTATTTCAGGAGTCTGGGCGGCCAGGAAATGAACAAGCTGCCTCCAACAACAAAAGTCCTTTTACATTTTCATACCAAAGACCAATAAAAACTTAGTAAAGACTTGTCTTGCAAGTCTGAAGACCTGCATTAAATCCATAGAGCCCAGGTAAAAATTCTGGGCATGGTGACATACACTTGTAACTCCAGGCTGGGGAGGGAAGCACTAGTCGATGCTTGGGGCTTGCTTGTTGGCCAATCTAGCTTAATTAGTGAGCTCTATGCCAGTGAGAAATCCTGCCTTAAAAAGAGGGGGATAAAGCTGGATGGGGTGGCATACACCTTTAATTCTAGTACTATGGAGGCAGAGCAAGCAGACTTCTGTAAGTTCAAGGCCAGCATGATCTACAGAGCAAGCACCAGGCTAGCTAAGATTACATATCGAGACTCTATCCCAAAAACAAAACAAAATGACCCCCCAAATCAAAACACACATACATACAAAAGGAAGTACGTGGCAGCTGGAGAGATGACTCAGAGGATAAGAGCACTGGTTCCTTTCCTGAGGATCCAGATTCAATTCCCAGTACCCACATGATGGCTCATAACTGTTCCAGGGGATCCAATGCCCTCTTCTGATCTTCACATGCAACAGATACACATGCGGGCACAACATCCATACACATAAAATAAATCTAAAATAATTTTAAAGTAGACGGGATTCCTGAGGATGAATCTTGAGTTTGCTCCCTGGCTTCCACAAGTATGTGCATATGTATATCTCCCCCCCCACAAACATATAAATGCATTTTAAAGGCTAATGAAAAGTAGCAATTACTTCCATTTGTCATGCTGCCATGGCAACATCTACTGAAATATCTTGGCAACAGTTCACAGTACAGGGGAACGGAAAATAAGGCTTGATGGAGTGCAATCAATATTTATAACTTCCCATTCAAGATTTTATAGCGCTTAAAGATATGAAAATAAACACCAAAGTTAGTAACACCTCTTATTAAAAGTTCCCGACATGATGGCTTTATGGTTGTAAAGACTGCGCTCTTCTCAGATCATTCATTTTAAGGAAAGAACTCAGGGCAGAGTGTTAGGACATCTGTGATTTCCAATAGTCCTCCCAACACATACACGCAGCCAATACAGAGTGACCATTAAACAGTCCTCCCAACACATACATATAGCCAATACAGACCACTGTTTTATCTTTTTAAATTTTCTGTACTTTTGAAAGTTTTCATCGGCAGAAAGTTGGAGACTGTGTTTACTATGACATAAATAGAGAAGGGTAGGAAGTTAAATCAGAATGTCAGAAAGGTTAGGTATCGGATAGTAGAAGAGGCTCTTTTCTTTACAATTAAAAACAATAATTTATTGTAATTCAACTTTCTAAAACAGAAACTTAACTAGAGTTTCCTATTTGTTGCTGAGATAAACAGTGGTTCCGGTATGTCATGGTGGCTGAGAGATCCATTGCCCATGGTGTGAAGTAATAGTACTTAGATATCATAAATGTATTTGGTATCAGAATGAGCTCTCACAGAATGACGAAAGGCTAGCTCAGGATGTCAGACTTTCCGTGACCTTGCTGACTCCAACACCTTGGGCTTAAGCTTTCCTCAAAGTTCTCCTCAATGGCAGTAAGCATTGGGTAGGCCGTGAAACAGATAATGTAGTTTGCTCAACATTGTGGGACCCTGCTTGGAAAGATACTAGGTTTTATGAAGCCTGAGTCCTTACGTAGTGTATTTAAAAACAGGATTTCTCCCCGCCTGACTTCAATCCTAGCACTTGGGAGGCAGAGAAAGGCAGATCTCCGTGAGTTTGAGGCCAGCCAGGTCGACAAGAGCTAGTTCCAGGACAGGCTTCAAAGCTACAGAGAAAATGTGTCTCAAAAAGCAAAACAGAGGGCTGGAGAGATGGCTCAGAGGTTAAGAGCACTGACTGCTTTTCCAGAGGTCCTGAGTTCAATTCCCAGCAACCACATGTTGGCTCACAACTATCTGTAATGAGATCTGATGCCCTTTCCTGGTGTACAGGCAAACAAGCTGCATACATAACAAATAAATAATTTTAAAAAAAAAAAAGCAAAACAGAACGACCAACCAAACAAACAAAAACAAACAAACCAGGATTTTTCTCTGTAGCTCTGGCTGTCCTGGAACTCATTCTATAGACCTCAAATTTGGAGATCTGCCTGTCTCTGCCTTGGCCTCCCAAGTGCTAGGATTAAAGGCATGCATCACCACCTGGCTTGGTGTAGATAATTTCTGTACCTTTAATCATGAAATGGTCACCATTACTAGAGAACACTGGCTGCTGAATGGTCTCTATCTCCTCCCTTCCCTCTCAGGACTTGTTACAGAATTGCAATTGCTTACCTTATTTTAAAGCCTCTGCACAATTTACTGCTCAGTAGCTGCTACTACAGCAGCACCACAGACATCTCTGAGGTATTTTCTGTGCCTGTCATTTCAAGCGAAACCTTTGATTGATAGTCCTAACATGAAACTATTCATTTTGAGTCTAGTCTTGCCTTCAGTAGTTCCTTAGTACCCAAAATAATTATCACTTGTTTATGGTTATTGCATTAGAAAAACACAGTATTTTTAAATACAACTGTAATTCTACAGCAAATTGTGTAACAGGCTAACACTCTATCTATTATAAAATAATAATAAACCACTTAGTAAGAGTCTCAGGTAATAATTTTACTTGATTTTTTTGCTCAAAACTTAAAACATATTTATCCCAATATATTTGCAAATCAAAGCAGAGCCAACAGATCTTTTTGTCCTTTTAAGACTCTATTATTCCCATTTAAAGCAAATGAGAATTAAAAGAATTATCAATAGTTTGTTTTTGAAACAGGGTTTCTCGACATATCCCTGGCTGTCCTAGAACTCCCTGTGTAGAGCAGGCTGACCTCAGACTGACAAGATCCACCTGCCTCTGATGCCCAAGAGCTAGATCAAGGGTGTGTGCCACCATGCTTGGCAACAGTTAAGTGCATGGCTGTTTTGCCTGCGTCCAAGTCTGTGGTTCACAAGAGGGCTTATGATCCCCAGGGACGGAATCACAGATGATTCACGGATTAATCCAGTATGGCATCATCTGATGGGTGCTCTGAACTTACCCCGGCTCCTCTGGGAAAGCAACAAGTGCTCTTAGCTGCTGAGTTGTCTTCCTAGCCCCCAACAGTTTTAATTAGCAGAGAATAAATAACATTTCCTGCACTCTTTAAGCCTTCACAGCCCCAGCACTGCCCTTCCTGGAGTATATTCATTCTCCTGTGCTCAGAACAGAATGGAGCATTTAGGGAGCCAGGTCAGCTGAGCAGAGAGAGTAACTGCAGCAAAACCAAACTCAAGAACTAACACACATTCAACCTTACTATTGTGAAATTCTGAGGGTTCTTTTTGTATGGAAACTTTGACAGAGCACATGGACAGGACTTCCATGT